TCTCTTCATCTATCTATCTATCTATCTATCTATCTATCTATCTATCTATCTATCTATCTATCTATCTATCTCTTCCTGTCTCTCTCTCTCTATCTATCTATCCTCTCGTTCTCTCTCTCTCCCTCTATCTATCCTAATCTGATGCTGTATTTTCTCTCCTCCTCCTCTTCCTCTATCTATCTATCTATCTATCTATCTATCTATCTATCTATCTATCTATCTATCTATCTATCTATCTATCTATCTATCTATCTATCTATCCTCTCTCTCTCTCCCTCTCTCTATCTATCCTCTCTCTCTCTCCCTCTCTCTATCTATCCTCTTTCTCCCACTCTTTATCTATCTAACCTCCCTCTATCTAACCTCCCTCTATCTCTCCCTCCCTCTATCTATCCTCTATATATCCTCTCTTTCTCTCTCCATCCCTCCATCCTAATCTGATGCTGTATTTTCTCTCCTCCTCCTCCTCCTCCTCTTCCTGTGCTTGGCCCTGCTCAGAGGAGGCTGAAGGTAGGTTTGTTTCTGATTTTCCTGAGTTTTCCCGCTGAGTTTCGTCCTTCTCTGAGCCTTTTCCTCCCCTCAGTGTCCAACATCGACCACATGATCGTGGACGACGACCACTCGGGTTCCCGCCGGCTGCAGAACCTCTGGAGGTAACGCAGAACCCGCCTAGAACCCAGAGGGGAACCACCAGGGAACCCAGAACCCAAGAACCTGCTTTAGAGGTCCTTTAAACCAGGTTCTGGGCTTCTGGATGTCTGGTGGTTCATCCGTTTTGGTCCCTTTTTGTCCCAGATGTTTCTGTTTTCAGGCCTTTTTAAAAATAAAAAAAAAAGATTAAATTTCTTTATTTTTTAACATACAAAAAAAACGAAGCTTTAAATTTCTTAATTTTTTTTAAATAAAAAAAAATCTTTAAATTTCTTTATTTTTTTTAATGAAAAATAAAAAATCTTTCAAATTTCTTTATTTTCTAAAATAAAATATATATATATTTTTAATTTCTTTATTTTTTTAAATTTAATTACATT